CCCATTATCCAAGGTCCTAACCATTGGCCTCTAATATGACCCCTACCTGTTTCCTGGGTACCAGGTTTCTTGGGATTTATAGTATGTATCTATGTATATAATAGGTATTTGCGCATCCCAGGATGAAGGGCCCATATTAAGGGCCCACAGGGCTAACCTCAGAATTTCAAGCCCGTGTTTTTTTGTTTTCTAGATTCCTCTGCTCCGCCCATACTACCCCCCCTGCCATAGGCCCCGCCTTAGTCACAGTTATTGGAAGAAAATCGGGGCTGACTAAGACTCGTTGGGCTGCGTATATGGGCAGGTATGACGGGAACCCGTGCTTACCAAGGACTGGGCAGTAACATCTGAATCTTCTACGTTTTTTGAGATTGGGTACTGCCCCCAAAATTGGCGTACCTTTAAAAGTAGGGATATCGAGGGGTTACCTAGTGTTGTCTTGAGATCCGGTTGAATTTGTAAAATTACTTCTTTGCAACAGACGAGGTCATGAGGAGTCAGGATTTAGAATTCACATTTCCATGATACTTGCAAATGCTGAGTTCCAAGCGGACGGGCCACCTCCTATGTACTGGAGGATTTCTTCAGGGATCGGCAAGTATAACGAGGGTCTGCATTGGGACTTGTAGTAAAAAATTCTGGGCTTGCGTAGGACTACATTGCAGGGTGTACTGCGATCCGTGCCTTCACTTGATAGTTTCCAAAAGCGTTCTTCAAGGTATGATGCCATAGTACAGCACAAGCTGCAACGCGTCACATGAAGCCAGCTTACATGGGCTGGGGGTTCTGGTCCAGAGTTCTTCCGCACACTGCTGGCCCCAGCTTTGGTTCCGACCTTACCTGACCTCAACCCACCTGGGGGGTTATTCAAAAGTTGCCCCAAAAGGGCTTCCCATGAGTTTGGTCAATTGTTGCAATCCTGCAAGATTCCCAAAGTTCTTACATGACCCCCCACCCTCTGCACTTGCGATCCTGGATCTAGAGGCCCCAGCAACTATTCAAAGTTGAATGATTTCACTTGTAGGTACGCAGCATACGTCAGAATACCTATAAGAACTCGCAGAACATCTTCATGACATGAATAGATTTCCGACCTGGAAACCTCAAACGCTATGAGGGTTTGCCTACGTCAAGGGTCCTTTTTGTAGGGGTCCCGTAGTCAAGATCGTAGTGATTTTGACCGCGCAGAAAGAGGACTGCTAGTTGTTAAAATGCTTATAATTATGGGTATTCGGCAAACTTCGCAGAGGAAGGGTCTCTATGTTTGGGTCCTTCTTTTGTACGGCCTCTACTTCAGTTTTCGCTCATTTTGGTTGGGAACAGTTTTTGTCGCCAATCGCTGAACCCTGAACCCGGATTCTCAAATTGGTGCCACTCTGAGGGATCCTCGTGTTAGATTGCAGCCGCCTTCATTGATTTTGTAGGGAGATTTTGCCCAGCTCCAGTCTCGGTCCTCTAAACCCAAATCTTGAACCCTAAAACCTCAAAGCCTAGACTCTAAAATCTGAACCCTATACATCCCCGTATCCCCAAAGAATCCATTTAAAGAGGAATATCTAAAGGGAGGCCTGGCGTCCCTAAACCTTATGCCCTAGACCTGCGCCCCTCCACCCTCCCAGGCCGAGAAAGAGACTGTGCCAGAGCCGTCCCAGGTCGTTCCTTCAACTGATGCTAAAGAAGGGAAGATTTCAGATTTTTAGGGTTTAGGGTTTAGGGATTTAGGGGGTTAAGGGGTTTCTTTATTTGGGGTTTAGGGATTCAATAATGCTCCGTAAGCCATCCCCAGATAGGCCACTACTACCATTTTGAGCACTCGTGGATAGTTCCCAAAATTAGAGTCCCATTTTGGTGCCCCTAAACATTGAGAACAGCCCAGTATGCGCGAAAGCCTCAGAACCTTCAAGATGCAGGGAACGAAGGGCACGTTACAGGGGATCTGATGAAATGGTTAGCTGTCGAAATTACGGGTTTCGGGTTTAGGGTTTAGGATTTAGGGTTTAGGGTTCGAAATTAATGTCCTTGTTTGGGGTCCCCTCAAAAAAGGGGGCGGTATTAAACTAAACGCGCTCTGAACATGTTGGTAACATGCGCTATGGGGGCCAGTGTTTGTAGATTTATGGGTGGTAGGTTTTGAGTTTAGGGTTTAGGCTCTAGGGAGACGACGATCCGGCTTTCTAGGGAGTATTGGGGCTTCATTCTTACTTGCTACTTTGAGGTTCAGGGTGTTTTGTACCTGACATTCATGATTGAGTTACTAACATATTTATTCTGTAGGGGTTGCGGGTACTGTTAGAAGTTATCACTGGGTTACAAACAAGCTGAACCTCCAAGTAGAGGGAAGTTACAGTCTGGAGCTTTGGGGTTTTGTCAAAGGTTGACACAGGATGTACAGGGTCTTGAAGATCTGCTATGGAAGGGTGAGCCCTTACAAAGCCCTGAACCTGACAGGAGCGGAGCAAGGTAGCGTTAAGGGTTACCATTGGGATGGCCTGTACGCTACCGGCCCGCGCCCCAACCTCACAGAAGGACAGCAGATTAGTTTGGGGAAGTGTGCCTTTGATGATGTTGTTAGACTAATTGGAAGCGTTTAAAAAGGGATATGGATCCAGGAATATAACACCTAATATAACCCTAATATAACCCCTAATACTGGGCAAATTAAAGCGACCTCACCCGACCTCAGCCTAAATGGTGTTTCATATAGGGAATAGTACCAAAATGGGCTTAAATTGGGAATTGAAATTATTCTAAATTCCCCTGCTAATACAACCCCAATATAACCCCTAATAACGCTACACGCCTAAGACCTTACCCATCCTTGACCCTAGCCTCGGTGCAGCAGCTAGCTCCCTTACTTGGAGGCCCATGGGACTTAGTAAGTACTTATCACTGGGATTATAACCCTACTTAAAATTGGCGTAACCCCTAAAAGCCCATTTACGGGGATTATAAGTAGGGTTTTAAGCCCAGTTATAAGTAATTACTACGTCCCATGGGCCTCCAAGTACCCTGACCTTAAAAACCCTGAACTCTAAGAACTCCCTGGATGTGCCTAGTGAAGCGACCTAGAACACGAGAGATCTTGCTGTCATGATACTGTCCGGTGAGCTTTGAATTTTTATCGGTGTGTGATGCGGTCATTATCGGCGCAAATCGAGTTTGTCCTTCTCAGTCTGATGACGGCAGGAGCTCTGTTTCTCGACATTTGGCGACATCTAGCAGTTTCCACAGATGTTTCCTTGCCTTCCTCATGGTGTGGATGTTCCCGGTACACAAGCCCTGCTACCGCCTATCCTGTAAGAGGGATTTCCAATGAACACGCATGAACACGCTTTGCTGCAGCAGGCTGAAGAGACTGAGATGATCTCTGTTTGCATTGCCAGCTTCCCAGGGCGACTGTTCTTGCGACATCCGGCAATACCCATTAAAGTGTAGTCGCATTGTAGTCCTCATCTGCAAGATCTCGTGAACTACAAAGCCTTGCCTTGTTCTGGGATGCACCTGGTGAAGTTCTGCAGAGATTCCCCTCTCATATCATCCAGCAACTAGCCCTAAGCCCTAAACCCAGGCTTCTTCGGGTCTATTAGTGGGGTTATAGGTATACAGGCATCCTAAAGTGGCCAAAACATAAGTATCCCGCTTAGAGAACCCCCTCTTCACTACCCTTGCATCATGGGAAAACGTGCAGGAGGAATTTGTGTTGTGGTTGGAACCGGCTGCCGCACAAATATGGGAGTTCCTCAAAACAGGGGTAGCGTGACGACCACAGGGAGTTCCTCTTAGAGCATCATTGGGCAGCGTGCTAAATGGACTGGATCCTCGTGTCGGCAGTCAGCACATTCAGCCACACCGCCGTCATCATGGTATAGCGTATAAAGGGATTTTGGATCTTGTGCCTGGCTTCACTACGGTGGGCTCAAGGGTTCAGGCAAACGGTCTTATCCCCTACACCTGAATCCCTGTATCATCACAGTTTCCATTTCACGCTCGATTTTCTTAGCATTTTCATTGTGCAGTTGATTCTTCGTTTTGGGGGTAATATGCCCATACCCCAAACCCGAAATCCTAAACCTGAGTCGTACGATTTGCGGAAGGCCAGGGGCAAAACTTGGATCCTTTGATTTACGGGAGCCCGTGCTTTCTCTTTTTTTGGGGTGTTAGGGTTCAGGGCTAGTGTTCAGGGCTTAGGTAGAGTTGGGGGTGGGGTGTATCATAGAATCCTTTAATTAAGAGTTTCAGCAGCATCTCTGCCAGAGGGTACGATGTCATCCAGTGTTGCAATGTCGAGGGGGTGGGATCACAAAAGGAGGGGAGCAACATGGAAGCCCACAAATGCTTTTTGTTGGAAGGGCCAAAGCTTGCAACAGGACCCTTTTCATGTTCCAGATTTGTTCGCGGAGCGTATATACCAGGAGTTACCCGTGACACCCAATACCCAAACTCCGAATTGTAAACGCCCTCGGCCTTGCACCTGCCAGCTGTGGCGGTATAGGCTCGAAGCTATTAGCCTGCAAGCCCTAACCCCTTGGAAGCTAGCCCCTAAGACAGCAACGAAACCGACACCCAAAGCCAAGCGTGTGGGTTCCAAAGCCTCAAGCCGATGCAGGGAATAGAAACCCAGCTACTCTTTTGCGTGACGCAGACGCTAACGTACTTCAACAAGATCCTGTGTAGCTACATTACGCTTCAAATCAAGTCAGCAAGCCTTACAGTTGCCCCCATCCAATGATGCACAGGGACTTGCATGTAGGTAACCCTAAACCCTGAGACATCCCAGCCCCAAAAATCCTGACACTCCAGAGCCCTACACTCTATACTCCTCAAATCCAAAGACTCTTCCTGGCGGCGAACCTATACTATACTATGCCATGATGTATCATGTACTATATCAAACATCAAAATCTAAACTAGTCTGCTTTTGGCGACTTGCAACTCAGCCGCCATGGCCAGCAGCTCCGCAGAAAGCGACTCCGAGACCCTTGAAAGCACTTGATCGTGCGATGGAGTCGGCAGAGAGCCTCGTGGCGTGGCTGAGCCGGGACCTTGGCATTGCTCTGCAAACTTTTCGCGGCCTGTCTGACTCTCAAGTGGCCTTCGCTGTGGCCCTTGGACAGATGCGTGAACAGACCCAAACGCCCACGAGGAGCCTTGCCAAGGTGCCCTGTCCATTTATCAGCAGATATCCACAGCAGCTGTGTGGGATCTGGAGCCTCACCCCTGAGGGACGTGCAGCGCAGCAGTTTTTGGACAGCAGTGCGGTGATGCACGTCAACAAGATGTGGGGGCTCATGCTGTTTACATGGCTCGGCGCTGGTGGCACACAAGGGCGGGCTTTTCAGCAGCTCATGGCTGTGCCGGAAATGTCCAACTACCGGTGCGATGATCGTCAGCCCTTGGAGGTCATCAACTACGCCAAGCTCTGCGTGGAACACCTGGGTGGCCACACCCGCCAGTTCTTCGGCAGCGATGGCCGAGACAAGTCGCAGCGCTTAGGCAAAAGCGCCGAAGGCATGTTGGCTGCCTGGCACGAGGCAGTGCCCGCTCTGACAAAGGCTTTCGGCGAGGGCACTTCAAGCTTCATGGCGGCCTTGGGGCGCCTTCCAAAAGCCGGGCCCTTGGCTCAGAAAGAGATTTGCAGCTACCTCGGTGTGTCCACTCACTTCAGTTACATGGCCGAGGAGATTCCCTTTGGCTCTGGTGCCGAGAAGGGTGCCAGACTTTTCTTGCAGCTTGAGGACAACTTCCTAGATGGAGCCAAGGCTCTGCGCAAAAAGCTGGAAGACTGCATGCTGCAGCACTTCCCGGGCTTGAAGGGGAAGAGTGACTTGGGCTACTTGTCTGTGGTGGACATCGAAATCTTCTGTTGCTATGGCTGTAGTTACCTGTGCAAGTTTATACAAAAATTGCGTGACAGATTGAAGCAGCCTTTTTGCAAAGTCCCGTACTATGAGGCTTTGGAGTTGGCTGAAGGCTTTACAACGCCGACAGGCTGGGTGCTCCATGTGAATGGAAGACCGGCGTTGGAGATCGAGTTGCCGGCCTTTTCGTGTGCAAGCGAGTCAAAGAAGCCCCGCCTCTCCAGCAGCCTTTTCAGCTTGGGGGAAGACTGGCGGCGCCTGGAGCAAGGGCTGGGCCAAACCCAGAAACAGAAGCACGCGTGCTTCAAGGCCGTGAAAGAACTTGGCAGGTGCACTGAGCAAGAAATCCTCCAGAAGCTGCAGCTGTACGTGGATCGCGAAGAGCTGGACAAGCCTGAACAACCCCTCAGCAAGGTTTGGGGGCATTACCGCCCCAAGCTGCTTCAAGAAGGCTTCCTTGTCGTGACGGAGCCTTGACTCAAGCCTTGATCTGGTGGAAAACAGCTTGGCGCCGTGAGGGTGAGGTTCGCAGACCATGTCTGCAGTTATATAGGGGAGAACTATAGGACTTGTTGAGGGGGGTGTTTTGAGTTTTGACTTTAGCTCACATGGGTCCGGCACTTCGCGCTTTGTAGAACGCAGGATACAGTCTAGCGTTTAGGGTTTAGGACGATTGCAGTCCTTTTTTGTTTAGGGCTTAGGGTTTAGGGTTGAGGGGGACCCATCATTTCGCAGATGCCACATACAGCATTTAGATTCGACTGGCAAATAGCATCATGAGCCCTAAGCCCAAACTAAGCCCTAACTTTTAGAAGCATACAGCCCTAAACCTTCAACCTTGAATCCTCGCCCCTAAACCCTGAGCCCTAGGCTTTGAATCCTCAATCCTGAAGCAGAAGCACCAAGCCTCATGCCCTACACCCTGAAGCCCAAGCTTCCTTGAGCGTCAAATCCTGAAGACGACGTGCAAAGCTTATAGTCCTCCTTAAGTAGACAGAATATGGTCTATGGGCATCTTATTATAATATACCTGGAGCCATATTCTATCTACTGAAGGGGGACGAGAAACCCGCAGCCAGGCAATCCTCGAGGCTAATGAGTGCTTTATAACATGCGTTGCCATTTGATGACTAATCTTTCCCCTAATATTACACGGTTCCCCCGCTAAGGTAAATGCTGCCGCCCGTATTCAATATTAGGTGGGGTATTTATCGTACGACCCGAAGATTACAAAAGTGGGGCAATTCTAATCTCATTAAAATCGTACAAAATTCGATTAAATCTAATAAGGGGACTTTTAAGGACTATTTCAAAATGGGGCTTTAATAGGGTATGAGGGACAATTTAAATTAGGGACTTTTTAGCCATTATTTCAAATTAGAGCTTTATTAGGGATTATATCAAATTAGGGCCTTAGGGCCTCATGAGGGAATATATATAAAATTAAGGCCTTATCAGGGGTTATATCAAATTAAGGCCTTGTTAGGGACTATTTGAAATTAGGGCCTTATGAGGGACCATTTGTAATTAGGGACCTATTAGCGACTATTCCAAATTTAGGCTTTATTAGGGACTAGTTCAAATGAGGGCTGCATCAAGGACTATTTCAAATTAGGGCCTTATGAGGGACTATTTGAAATTAGGGTTTTATTAGCGACCATCTCAAACTAGGGCTTCATTAGGGACTATTTCAAATTAGGTTTTATTACGGACAGTTTCAAATTAGGGTCTCATGAAATAATATATCAAATTAGGGTCGTACTAGGGACTTTTTCAAATTAGGGACTTATAAGGGACTATTTCAAATTTGGGCCTTAGTAAGTCCTGTTCCAAATTAGGGCCTTGGACTCTGTTTCTGGAATTCTTCTATAAAAATCCTTTGTAAAACCCATTCAAAAACAATCAAAATCTAGGAAATCAAGGAGACCCTAATCCTGAAGACTCGTGCTAGAACCCTAAACCCTATATACCCCTATATATCCCCCTATAACTGCTTTAAAGGGTACAAACCTTATGGTCCATGAGATGTCAAAAAGGTAACAGGCTATCAGAACCAGGCTTCATGCTGATGTTGCCGCGGCGCATGTGGCACAATGTGAGCTATAGTTTAGGAGGACCCCCCACCCTGTAATAGTGGTATAATAGGAATATAATAGGACCCTAATGTAATCCTTATTATCCATAATAGTCACTATTACAGGGTGGGGGGTCCTCCTAAGCTATAGTCTAGACTCCTTAAAAGTGGATTTATAGGGTTTAGGTTTAGGGTTTGGGGTTTAAACGCCTTAAATGGGGTTTGTATAGGGGGATTATATAGGGGAGTACTATAGGGATTTTTAAGGGGGGTGCTAGGACTTTAGAATACAGCTCATGTGAGGTGTTTCACCACAAGGAGGAGAAGTGGAGCCACATCTTCAAGATCCCAAAAGGCTTTCCCGGCTCTGCCGCGGAGTTTTCTTGCCTTTTTTTCAGATTTACTTGGAAGTGGGTATGGGGCGATGGGGAGGATTACAGCAGGGGGGGCTAGATTCGAGCTACTATAGGAGGCCATCATTCAACTCGCATCTAAGCATGAGTCATAGGTTCCACTACTAACCCCCCCTATCCTACCCCGAGCTAGACCTTAGTTAGCCGTAGTTGTCCATAAAATAGTTTTAGTCGAGGGCCTTGGTAATCCCTTCCCGCTGTTAATGAACCCCCTCGCCCCGTGACAATCAAGCCACCCAATATGGTCTCCATCATACATTAGGGCGAGTATTGCTTTTTAGGGTAGTGGTGGGGCTTGTCATGAGGGGGCGAAGGGCGTGGGGGATTAGTAGCAGAACCCCCTCAACCCTAAATCCTGAACCCTGAGCCGTACAGTAAACCTTAAACCCTAAACTCTGAACACCAAACCCTAAACCCTAATAAGCCCTAGACACTAAACCCCCAAGAGCCCCAAGCTCTGAACCCATAAGTGTGTTGAGGGAAGCTCCAGGATCGAAGAACTTGTTTGGCGCTGTGTGACGCGGTTTAGGGTTTGGATTTAGGTTGGGTGCTGCCCCCACTCAGTAACAGTCTATATTAGACCGTATTAGGGGTCCTATTGAGGGCTATATATAACCATACTATAATTATTATCCAGCTGTTACTGAGGGGGGCAGTACTGAAGATTTAGGTTTTGGGGTTCAGATCAGAGTTTCTAGGGTTGCCATAAAAGTGACTTGCAGGTTTCAGATGCCAGCGTTCAAGTCTACAGTTTAGGGTTTTTAGGGTTTAGGGTCTTCAGGGTTTAGGATCCGAATTCTGCGGAATCCCCAAACCCTAAACGTAAACATTTAAGCCCTAAGACCAAAACCCTGAAACCCAGAATCCCACAATCCCCTCTGAATTCCTACATATCCTAGGTCCCTAAACCCTAAACCCTGAACCTCCAAAGTCACGGAAAGTTTGGGAGGCGCCAGCGTCATGGATCTCAAGAAATCCATGGCCGGAAGCCTGAGCTTGCTGTTGGCGGGCTTTCGGAACGGCTTTCCATTCTTGAGAGTGTTTTAGGCCATGTAGTTCATGTTTTGGGGGCTTAGGGTGTGAACCCTAAACCCTAAACCCTGGAAGGTCGGAAGATGTTGGGCTTTGAAAGTACAAGCTGCCCTACACCCTATCCCCTTGCACCCAAGGCCTCAAGTCCTAGACACCAGACCAGGTAAAATTCTTGAACCCTAAATCTTGAACACCAACCTTCGTAAACCCTGACCCTTACAGAAGGCCAGTACCCTAAACGCTAAAGCCCCGACCCAACCCTATACTGTGTTGCTGCTAAGAAACCCAAATCAAACTGTATATCAAATTATGTTTAATTAATTCGAGTTTCTGAGCAGCACCCCAGTATAACGACTAGAAAGCATAAACTCCATGTAATCCCTGCAACATGTTCTTGCAGATAGCCCACTATCACCCTAAAGTCCACCACCCTATCAAGCACCCCGTAGACTCTGCAAAGGGACCCCTAGCATATCCCAGAATGCCCTATGTGTCCCTGCATTGCCCTAAAGGCCCCCAACCTATGACACCCCAATTTCTCATAATCTTTAGAGGGACCCCTGTTTATCACATAGAGGTCCCCAACCCCTGAACCCAGTGGCTCATCTCAGATCAAGCCAAACAGTCCTGAAGATGACGTGCAGGGCCCGGTTCAATGGTTTGAGAGTTTCTGAACTTTGCCAGACTGACTTTACCGGAAATGGAAAATGACATGACATAAGGATGTATGGGGACTTGGGGCGTGGATTTCGGGTTTGAGGGTGTAGAGGTTTAGGACTTTTGTTTTGGGGTTTCGGTTCTGGTTGAGGGGCTAGGTTTAGGTTCTAGGGTTTCGTTTGTAGAGTTTAGGATTTAGAGTTTAGGTTCGAGGGTTTAGGGTTTAGGTTTAGAAAGCTTAGCGGGAGAGCGGCTTGGGGCAGAGGGCTGAACGCCGGCTGTGCACGCCGGCGTCCGAGTGCAGGTTGTGATCTAGGGTGTACGGATTCGTTACTGGTGCTCGAGGTTCTGAAGCAATCCCCATCTGATTCCTCATTACACACTCTTATGCGCTTTTGCACTCAAGCCCCAGTAAGGATTGTGTTCCTGCTGGGTATGCTTCAGGGCCGGAGTGGGGTAGGATCAAGGCAAAAGCAGAAACAACAAATGAAAGATCATGACTGGGGGTTTCCAAGAATTAAGGGACCCCAGATATTATATGAGACCTTGTCTAAACTCCTCGTGTACCCCTTCATAACCCCTATAATATTCCCTTATATGACATATAACCCCCTACTACAGAGTTTAGACCCTAAACCCTAAACCCTATATAACCCCCTGCCTTTAAGTAGTTTAGACTATAGAACTCCCTATATAATCCCCTGTATAGCCTTTTTAATGAGTTTAGAGTATAGCTCACATATATACAGACCCCTCCTCCACCCCAAAACAAGGAAAGCCCAAGAATGTAGTAGGAACATAACTTTGGGTTTAGGGTTTAGGGTTTGTTTTAAGCACTCCCTGCAAAGGGGCCCCTACTTTTTGGAAACCTCCATAATAGCTTGTGAAAACTACACCAGTTGTTTGAAGAGGAGGCCTTTTAGGGATTGTCTGTCCCTTAGTATCGTTCTCACGACTTACTACTATACCAGATGTCCCTTTCCTTCGTCTTATTCTGGACTGCTGCAGTATGAGGGATTGACTCAATCTACCCCGACAATCTTACACATCAATGTCTTTGAGCACAAGCCGTTTTAACAACTTAATGGAGGCTGGTAGGGAATGGAGGAATGGATCCCAATCCATATATATTCTACTCGGTTTCCTGTAGGCTATAGCCATACGACCACGAGCAAGTAAACTCTGAACCCTGAAACCTGAACCGCTGTTTTCTTTTCCTTGTCCCTTCCTAAAGCAACCAGCAAACGGCTGGGCGAGAGCTGCAACAGTGGGGTATCTCTCTCGCCTGACCCGGTCGTGGT